TTCAAATACCTGAAACTTCAGAGTTTTCATCAGATATTGAGACAAAATAAGCATTCGAGGATACTATTTCTATCAAAATAAAGTCCTAAATGAGTCCAATTTGTGGACTCATCAACACCCCCAACTTAAACTTTGGCTTGTCCTCAAGCAAACTTGAGTTCAGCCGTTCAAAAACAGTGTCTCAAACAGTGCTACACAAGACTCAATCATGAGTGCACACAACAAGACTCAATTTACTTATGCAAGAATTAAATGTGTACTCAAAGATTTAAGTTGTGACACACTATTACCAAAGATTCTTATGGTCGCAATACTTGCTACTTGTGCAAGTTCAAGCTCAACAAAAAGTATCTAAATTCCCTCACATCAAGATCAGGAATCCGATGCAACGCTCACACTAAAAAAGAGGAACACAATGCATGTTTTCACCCATAGGTTTGCCTTTATTTTTCAATCGACTTTCGATTCGGTTTACTCAAGATAAAAAAGGTCTTTCTAAGGCTTGTAATGGGGATAAGTGCAAATGTATGGTCATTTAGGCTCAGTGGCTCCTTCTTCGTGGGATGTGGTATTCTCAAGACATTCCCTTCTTTTTCTTTATCGATTCTTTTTCTAGTGCTTCTAAGTCACCTTTTTATTCACCCTCATGGATTGCTTGGAACTCGATTCCCTTCATACTTTATTCCACATTTTTTAAAATTGAATTGAAATGATTCAATTTTTATGCAATACCATGGGTTAAGGGGGACTTTTCTTGCACTTCTTGACTTATCCTTTTCTCTTTTCACCACACCCCCAACTTCGGCTTTTGGCCTAAGTTGGCTATTCGCTAAACCACAACTCAAGAGGATTGTAGGTAGTGGTTCAAGTAAGGTTTAGGGTTCATCAAGGTTCTTCCAAAGAAAGGTAAGGCTCAAATGGTGTTCAAAAGAGTTTCACACACTTACGGGTAGGCCATAAAAAAGGTATATGTCAAATTTGGCTCACACTCTTTAAAATTGCCTAAAATCATATCAAAAGGACACCTTTCTAAATCAATCAGACTATCAGGGCAAATTCTAGGTTTATTCATGCAAGTTTCAAAGCAAGTCAATCACACAAGGAATCGACACTTAAGTCAAACATCCACGAAAAGCAGTGTAAACATAATTTTAAACAGAACAACCCAAATATATGCAAAACACGAATCACAAATAGCACACAAAAGGTGAGCCTCACCTCACCACAAATAAAAACGTTTGTCCTCAAATGCAAATAATAGTATCCAAAACTAAATGCAAGTAAGACAAACAGATGGGTGAAAAAGTGATCCTGATTATGCAGTTGCTCCATCTGTCATGGCATCAGTCTAGTTTTCATCTATTTGGCGATATTAGTTCTAATCGCCGAATCTCTTGACGATTCGCTGAGTGAGCACTCGACTCGCCGAGTTTTACAGAATCTTCAGTCATTGTGAAGATCCAAACGGCGGTTTGCATCGAGATCGCCAAAAATTTTGGCGAATCGCAAATAATCTCTAAATCTCATCGAGTTTAACAGACTTCAGTGTGTACGATGTTTTGAGTCTAACGGTGGATAAGGTTGGATTCGCCAACCCCTTCGGCGACTTACCGACATGATCTATTGTTTGCCATCCTTCATTCATTTAGTACTTTCACCTGCACAAATGATATACAATATTATTACCGGGAAATAAAGGGATTTATTTGTGTTTTTTTTGGGTTGCCTCCCAAACAACGCCTTAGTAAACGTCGTGGCACGACGCAGCAATGCCTTCAAGTGTCTTCCAAATATACCACTTCAACCAACGAAATCTCTTGACAATCTCCCAGATACAATTTCAGATTAACCGTTCACTGTAAATGAAGGTCTTTCCTGATATTTAACTTTTATGGCACCATTGATGAACACTCGCGTTACTCTAAACGATTCAAACCATTTGGATTTGAACTTTCTGGGGAAGAGTTTAAGTCGCGAGTTATATAGCAGAACCCAATCTTCTACCTTGAAGTCTCGCTTGAGTATCCGAGCATCATGCCATTTCTTCATCTTCTCTTTATAGATGGCTGAAATTTCATATGACATGAGTCTAAATTCATCCAGTTCGTTCAGCTGCTCTATTCTCACCCTTGAAGTTTTTGACCAGTCCAAATTTAAAGCTTTCAATGCCCACAATGCTTTGTATTCTAACTCAACGGGTAGATGACAAGCCTTACCATAAATCAACTGATATGGAGACATCCCGATAACTGTTTTGTAAGCAGTTCGATATGCCTATAGTGCATCATCAAGTTTCCTAGACCAATCAGTTCTATTGTCATTTACTGTCTTTGCCAAGATGCTTTTGATTTCTCGATTCGACACTTCGACTTGGCCACTTGTTTGAGGATGATATGGGGTTGCCATTTTATGTTTCACCTCATATTTACTCAGTGCCATTGAGAACCACTTATTACATAGGTGGGATCCCCCATCGCTTATGATTGCTCTTGGAGTGCCAAATCTGGCGAAGATGTAACGTTTCAAGAATTGGACAACGCTTTTTCCTTTGTTGTTTGGAAGTGCGATGGCTTCTACCCGTTTGGAGACATAATCTACAGCCACTAAAATATATTTATTTCCAAACGAGCTCACAAATGGTCCCATGAAATCTATCCCCATACATCGAATAGCTCAACCTCTAAAATATGAGTGAGAGGTAATTCGTGTCTTCTAGACACTCCGCCTTGCTGCTGACATTTAGAGCATTTCTTTGCAAACTCATTTGCATACTTGTAGATTGATGGCCAACAATATCCACTCTGGAGAACTTTAGCGGTGGTGCGAACACCACCATGGTGACATCCCACTGGAGATGTATGGCAAGAATGGAGAATTTCTACCACTTCTTCTTCCGGAACACACCTTCTGATGATATGGTCAGTACACTCTCGAAACAAGTATGACTCGTCCCAAAAGTACTTTTTAACATCGAACATGAATCTTTTCTGTTGGTAAAAGGTCAACTCATCCAGCATCAGCCCACACACAATGTAATTTGCAAAATCCGCATACCATGACGTATGTTTGAGGGATATTGCAAACACATGTTCATCTGGGAAAGAATCATCTATGTCAACCTCATGCTCGACATTCTCCCTTGCTTCCAGTCTTGATAAATGGTCAACCACTTGATTTTCGCATCATTTTTTATCTTTCTCCTCGAAATCAAATTCTTGTAATAGCAGTACCCACCTAATTAATCGTGGTTTTGCATCTTTCTTTGCCATCAAATAACGGAGTGCAGCATGATCAGTGTGTACGATTACTTTGGTGCCTAGCAGGTACGCCCTGAATTTTTCAAATGCATAAACTACTGCAAGCAACTCTTGTTCGGTGACCGTATAATTTTGCTGGGCACTATTTAGAGTCTTGCTTGCATAGTAGATTGTGTGAAACAGTTTGTTGCACTTTTTCCCTAGCACAACCCCCAGTGCCATAACACAGGCATCACATCTTAACTCAAAAGATTCAGACCAATTAGGACTGATGATGATCAGAGTGGATATTAATTTCTCTTTCAAACACTAAAATGCAACCATACAGACATCATTAAAGTGGAATTTCACTTCATTCTCTAAGAGTTTGCATAATGGGAGTGCAATCTTTAAGAAGTCTTTAATGAACATTCTGTAAAATCCTGCGTACCCCAAGAAGCTGCGAATGCCCTTTACTGAAATCAGTGGGGGTAATTTCTCAATGACCTCAATTTTTTCCTTGTCAACTTCTAGCCCCCTTTGTGACACCTTATCCCCAAGAACAATACCTTATTTTACCATAAAGTGACATTTCTACCAATTCAGAACCAGATTCGTTTCGACCTATTTTTGGAGTACCTGTCCTAAGTGAGTCAAGCATTTTTTGAATGTATCCCCTACGACTGAGAAGTCGTCCATGAACACCTCCATAGAGTCTTCGACCATATCTGCAAAAATAGACATCATGCAACGCTGAAATGTTGTTCGGGCATTACATTGCCTAAATGGAATTCTTTTGAATGCGAAAGTTCCATAAGGGCAAGTAAAAGTGGTTTTATCTTGATCTTCCGGCGCAATATAGATTTAGTTGTAGCCAGAGTACCTATCTAAAAATAGTACCACCCTCTTTCTGATAATTGGTCAAGCATCTGATCCATAAAAGGCATCAAAAAATGGTCTTTCTCGGTCCATGAGTTAAGATTTTGGTAGTCCATGCATACTCTCGACCCAGTCACTGGTCTTGTTGGCACTAGTTCTCCTTTTGTATTCGGGACTACAGTTATTTCTCCCTTTTTGGGTACACATTACACCGAACTTACCCACTTACTATCTGCAATAGGGTATATCACCCTTGCATCTAGCCACTTGATGATTTCCTTTTTTACCACCTCTTGCATTGGAGGGTTTAATCTCCGTTGATGTTCCACACTAGGTTTACATTCGTTGTCAAGCTGGATTTTGTGAGTGCAGATGCCAGAAGGAATTCCTCATATATCGGCTATTGTCCATCCAATAGATTTTATATGCTTCCACAGTACTTCAATGAGCAATTTCACCTGCCTTTCAAGCAGATTGGCAGCAATAATTACAGGCAGAGAATTATTGGCTCCTAAGAAGGCATATTTTAGATAAGAGGGTAGGGCTTTTAACTCCAAATTCAATGGTTCTTCTGTTGATGGTTTAACAGAGGGACTTTCTCTGTTTTTCAGATCGATATCTAATTTGATTGAATTCCTTGAATATGCTCTTAATCCTGATAAAGCAACTACCACTTCCTCGTAACCCTAAACTTCGAATTCATCATAATTAGCAAGCACATATTCAAAGGGCACATTCTTGCGCATTAAATGACTCACACTTGCCACTGCCTTATCTCAGTTGACACCACATAGATGTCACTTGGCTGTTTCATAGACTTACAAATATTGAAGGTCATCTCGTCATCATTCACACGAAACTTCAATTTCCTGCTTTCAACATCCATCATGCTCTCCCGGTAGCTAAGAATGGCCTTTCCAAAATAATGGGAATATCAACATCAATCTCACAGTCTAGAATCACAAAATCAGCAGAAAAGATGAACTGATCCACTTTTACCAATATGTCATAGAGTATTTCGACTGGGTGCTTGATTGATCGATCAACCATGAAGAGTCTCATTGTGGTTGCCTTTGGTTCACCCAAACCAAGTTGCTTGTATATTGCGTAGGGTATCAAGTTGATACTTGCCCCTAAATCGCACAAGGCTTTAGCAAATTGGAGCATGCCGATCGTGCACGGGATTGTGAATTCTCCAAGATCTTTTCTCTTAGTGATTGAATCATTTGTCATAATTGCACTGCAACTATGGGCCACCTCAATCATTTCATATTCGAAGCTCCTTTTCTTTGTAATCAGTTCTTTCATGAATTTGGCGTATCCCGGCATTTCCAACAATGCTTCTACTAGAGGAAGGTTAATTGATAAGCTCTTGAATACTGACATTTTTTTTTGAACTTCTCATTTTTATTCTTTTTTTTCAAACGTTGGGGAAATGGTGAAGGTATCTTGGTGTGACTTTTGGAACTTGAACTTGTTGATCTGCTTCCTCATGTGGTTCTTTAGTAAGGCTTTGTTGAATAGGCAAACCTTGGTCCTCCACATCTTGACTCTCTTTATGTTTTTAAGGATCCTCATCTTCCATCATATCCCCTATTGCCACCATACCGCTACGGGTAATCACAACCAACTCTCTTTCAATATAGTCCATGGGTGTTTTGGATGTTAATTAAGCTGATAACAGACTCAATTTGCCTTCCAACATTTTGATGGCATCAACATGAGAATTTACTTTACTGTTCAATGATGAAAAGTCATCTTTCATTCCTTTTAACAGGTCATCAGAGCCCTCAACTTTTTCGAGTATGCGTAATAACAAATTATTTACCCGAGGACTACTTGCACTCCCTTTGGATTTCAGGCTTTCGCTCAAGTGAATATGGTCCTCCTCTTGACCATCCTGCTCAGCCCAATCTTGCCAACATCTTCTTGGTTCTTCTCATCTATAATAGCTCCAACCTTGATTCCTACCTCGCGATTGATAGCGTGTGTGGAAACCCTCCTCGTATCTTCTAGAGTTTCAACCTTATTCCTCTCTCGGTCTTGAGTAACCGAAAGAAGAACCCTCCTCAACTCGAAATACCCCACGTGTCCCCTTCATATGTTTTTGTAGACTTTCCATTTGAGATAACATCTTCTTGATGTTTTCGTCCGTTTCCCTTTCCTTTTTGATCTGTTTTTGCGTTAATCAGAAGCATATTGGGGAGACTTGATCATCTTTGGTATGCCATGCCTGGTTTACTTTAGTCATACCATCTAGGAGGAATGAGGCTACTTCAAATGATTGTAACATTATTCCTCCTTGCACCAATTGATCAGCTATTCATTTATTCACCGAGTCCAGATTACAGTAGAAGTATTGGAACAACAATGCACTTGGTAGCCCATGTGTTGGGCACTTACGCACATATCTTTTGATTCTTGTTCATGACTCGTGAATTGGTTCACCCTCCTGTTGCTTGAAATTTTGAATATCGTCCCTCAGTTTCATCATTCTTGATGGAGGAAAGAATCTTTAGTGAAATACCATAACCAACTTCTCTCATGATTTGATGGAGTTGTTTGGGTGCTCAATCAACTATTTAGTGGCTCCCCCGGTTAATGATAATGGAAATAAGTGAAACCATATGGATCCTTGAGATAGGTTCTTGAATAATAAAGGGGTGCACACTTCCACAAATCTTCGTACATGATCGTACGGATCTTCATGCTCCAACCCTCCAAATAAACCTCTCGAATGTATGAGTTGGAATGTTGCGTTGGTAACTTCGAATACTACATTCCCATCAACTTGTGGCATGCAAATTTCACCTATATCACCCACGCCGGCAGGGTGACAAACACTATTAGCATTATTGATGTCGTCTCGATGGAAAACACCACATGCTGAGTGACCCGTTCGGCAGCCGTTGTCCCTGTTTGTACTCATATGGCCTGTTGTGGCTCACAAATACTCAAAACAAAAACTGTAAATTAAGTAACTAAACTACCACTAATAAGAACAAAAAATCTACTAATCTAAAAATTTTCAAATAACACCACTCCCCGACAGCGGCACCATTTTGATGCTTATAGTGACCAACGACACTAACCTACGGTATGAGTGTCTATGATCGTCGATAGTATAGTAACCCAACTAAAGGTTGGGGTCGTGTCCCAAGGGAGTGGTTTTGAGAGTTTATAGAAAAATAATCTCTAACTAGTCATAGCTAAAGACATTAACGATTAAAAACATAGTAAATTAAAGGGGTCGGCACAAAAGTGTCAAATTTCAATTGGGTTTTTTTTTCATAAGTAGTAAAAATAGCAAAAATTAACAAGAAAATCAAGTATGGAGAAATGTTCTTGGGGTGTGACCGCAATACAAGTCGAGATAAATCGTTGGGTACATGCTTTCAATAGGAAATTTGCAAGATAATAATGACTAGACTAAGCTTTAGATGGAAATAAGTTTCCTCTCGGACAACTTACTCCATTTCAAATAAGTTCCTCTCGGACACCTATTTGCTGCATGAAGACCAGCCTACGCCTTACCCCACTCACTCTCTCAAGCTGAGTGTTAAGATATGGGACTAGGGCTCACTCTCTCGAGCTGAGTGTTAGGATTTGTTCCTTTTTGTGCCTAAGTGTCCATGCTTTCACTAAAACTTCAAATACCTGAAACTTAAGAGTTTTCATCAGATATTGAGACAAAATAAGCATTCGAGGACACTATTTCTATCAAAATAAATACCTAAATGAGTCCAATTTGTGGACTCATCATTAATCACACTAGATTTTTTGCTAGTGTTATTGAAACAACATCATTGTTTACCATATTTGATTTGAAAATCTTCACATCTTCTTAATGTTATAGAATTTTAAGTTTGAAAAGAAAAAAAACGAAAAAAAAAGGCTAGCCCACCCCAGCCCTCAGCCCTTCTAGGGTTGGGTTGGTTAAGCATTTTCAATCCCTTCGAAATAAAGGGTCGGCCCGCCCTAGCCCATCAATCTCCATGGCATGCGAGGCATGGGCCGGGTGGGACTGGGCCGACCTTTTTTTACGAATTCATAAGTCTGAATTAGAGTGTTAAAAGCTATATCATAATACAATGTAGTGCAAAGTAACGTCAATACATGAAATGCATTGGTATGCAAGGTAAACACTGAGATCAACGATTATATAACAATTAAAAGAAATACACATTTGAGCATGAGTAATACACAAATGACAACAGAATCAAAATTGTGATATATGACATAATATTTCGGAAACAAAAATACATATCCGAGACCATATTTTCTAAGATCATATCCAAAATGACGTATATCTGAAAATCATGTTATCCAAAATCATACTATATGAAATCTTATAATGATTATATCAAATAAATATAAAATGGAGGTAAATCTTTTAGGTGAGAATTTCTCTTAACCGACATACACTGGGTGAGCTCACGATGCAACAATGAATGTCCCAATTAGGTGGGTTCCCTGTACCTTACCAATGTTACTAATATGGATCCACTAACTTAGCCTCAAATGGCTAAAGAAGTTGACCATCAAATCGGCATACTCAAATCCTATGGTGGCACGTATTTATGAGACTTGAGTTTTCTAAATCCATATTCTCTCGGTGCTACATAATCCTCTCAAAACAATATACTCATATGTATGCTCATATTTAGGTAACTATCTACCTGTCTAAATAAAATGTGAGACAAAGCTCAAATCTTTCTTTCTAAAATAATATACTAAAATCTCTTCTAAACGTATCTTCCAAATCATGTTCATAGCTTAAATCATGATAATTTTTTTGAACATGCAAATTTTGTGATTTCTCAAAATAGCTTTCATAATAACATAAAGCTTCTAAAATGATGCTTTGCAATATAAGATTCATAAATCATAAATAATAACATGTCAAGAACTAATAGAATGACAATGAAAAACCTTACTAAGTATAAAAAGGAAGTGCATATATTCAAGAATACATAATCATGAACAAAATGTTCAAGAAATCATGCAATTCAGGTCATAAATATGATGAATTCGAATGTGAGTTTTATAACCCTAATTATGATTTTAAATTCATGAAAATTGAGAAGTTTTGAACATGGGGATGAAAGGAATTCCTCATTGAAGTTCAACATAGCTAAATATTAGGAATTATTGGGGGAACACTTTTGACTTAGAATCTTATAACTTGAGTTTGAAAAATCCTTCTATGAATTTCTCGGATATTAAATTTGGAGAAGAATCTTAATTGAAAACCTAAGAATTCTTGAAGATAATCTTGAACATGGAGCGGCCTCTAGATCTTGCGAAATTGAATAAAAACATTTCTTGAAATTCTTGATCTTTGGGAGAAGAAGAATTGGAGATTTTGAGAGTTACTATATGTACGTATAAAGATGTTATTAAGTTATAAAATAGACTTAGGAAAGTTAATTAAGGGTAAAAGGGAAAGAATGCCCCTTTAAGAACGTAAGAAGACTAGAAAAATTAAAGAAAATGATCTTTTAATGAATTTGTTGGCCAAATCGATGATTTGGAGTCTCCATCACCAAAATATTTGATGGATCACCAAAGTGGGCCTTTAGATCGTGAAAATTAACAGTTTCTAAAGGTTTTTAGGCCATTTTGGGTGATGCAATTCGGCGCTACACCAAACTATTCGCCGATTCGCCAAATTGAAATTTCTCAGTCTGGACATGTTCTAGTAAAATAATCATAACTTTCTATTCTAAACTCCAATGATACAAACTTGGTGTCGTCGGAAAGAAGACTCATAGTCCTTTAATTTAAGATAAAAAGGGTCTAATATTCCCCCTAAATTATTTGAAAACGTTTAGATATACCCCCCGTTTAAAGTTTAGCTCACTTGTGCCCTCGTTGTCCAACTTTTCGCATCGATATGCCCTTATGGGCGTTAGTTGGTCTGCTGGAAATATCCAACTCATTTCACATTTCTTTAAATGCCAAATGGAATTGACACGTCATTTTTACATTACCACATGACATTTATATTAAAAGGGAAAGGGATCAATTATGCCCCTAAACTATTCGGAGCTCTTTTAAAACACCTATCCGACCCATAAATCAACCCCTCTTTTAAATAACCTATCTAACCCGTATCAAAACCCGTTCATATATCATATCCGACCCAAAACCCATCCCTTTTAACCCATTATGAAAGCCCTAATATGTTGTTAACTTCTCTATTTCCATCGAAAAAAGCTTGCGGCGCTAGGGTTCTTAGAAGATTTACGAAGCTTGCGACGCTAGGATTCTTAGAAGATTTACAAGTTGAAGGTAAGTCTTCTATATTCAATAAATTATACATTCGATTTTGTTACATTTTCTTGTTAGGTTAGGGTTATCTAAATAAAGTCGACCTAGTGAGG